GAGCTCTGGTGAGTGTGAGTGAGCTCTGGTGAGTGTGGGGAGCTCTGGTGAGACTGATTCCTCTTTCACTTTCTTTATTCCCCATCCTCTGGGACCTGGGTTGGATTTCTCTTCCATCATGTGCTCTTTTCCTTAAACAGCAGCTTGCCTCAGTGAGGRATCAGTATTTCCAGGAGGATGTTGTACTTCCAGGGTCTCCTGTTTCATTGGGCATTGTTTGTCTCCCTGCTGCAGGATGCAAACACAAAAGAGAAAAAGCAGACCCCAAGTGAGAAAATACCTAAAGTGGGTGAGAAAACAAGCCCGAGCAAAGGAGCTGAGGCTGCCACGATGACAGAGGGTGSTGTGGCTGCAGCAGAAAGTCCCAAGCACAAAAAGGAACAAAGGAACCAGAAACCTGTGGAAAAGAGTAAAGAAAGGTGAGAACAACATGCTTCACTAGCAGGAGCTGCTGTGAGCAGGACTCCAGACTGAGGTGGGGGATTAGGTCAGTTTGCACCTTGGATGTGTGGGAATAGAACTGTCTTGAAATGGAGATGAAGTGATTGTGCTCAGGAGAGCCAGTGTGGAACAGGAGCTGCAGTGAGTGATGTCCTGGGTGATGTGGTACCCAGGTACTTGAACCTGCACGAGCATCTGAGGGATGAAAAAACAGCTTACCCTCTTATTCCTTGCTCCTATGAGCAACACGAGCTTCACACATGGCTCCTTAGGTGAATAGTGCCAAGAGCTRTTTTGGTGTTTTGTTCATGTGTAGGATCTGGAAAAGGGCTAAAGTGCAGCTATTGCAGGTGACTCTGCTGGGTCTGAGCATCTCCTGCTCCTTTAGGAATCYGTTTTTCCCTTTTGCACTGGGCCTGCTCACACATCATCTGAGTGAGCTGCTCCTGGGGTTTATGGGTCTTGCAGCCAGTCTTACAGTGGCTCAAATATAGTTTGTGATTTGTGCAATTMAACCCAGTAAAATCCTTTCCATTTCCTTCTTTCCCGCAGCTCTGTGAACCGGGATGATGGTGTTACAGTGTATTTCCATGCAATATTATCCAAAGACTTTAAACTCAACCCTGACACCCATAAAGTGTTCATCAAAGCTCAGGACATTCCTGGCTACACCAACTGGGAGGACAAAGTCTGTGAGCTGAACTGCACCCGGTGAGTGCTGCCTGCTCTGAGAACGGGGTCCCTGTGGGGCTCAGTGACTCTGCAAAGTGGGGGGATTGCAGCAGAGGCTTTCACCCTGGAGAAAACTGTTCTGAAATGTTCTTGTGGAAGAGCAGTCAGCATTCAAAATGTTCAAAATGGAGCAATGCGTGGAAAAGGAGGTTTGTAGATCAGCTGATATGTCATTTGCCTGCCTGTGCTGTATTTGTGTGTCCTAGGCATCTGGGAGAGCATGGATACCTCATTGAAGGTGCTGTAACTCTCACCAAAGACATCCTGGAAAAATRCATTCCTTACAAGTACTGGGTGAGCTGTGGGAAGGGCGAATATGAGTTCATTTACAAGAATTCAGAATCCAAAACTCCCGTGAATCGCTGCTTATTGATAACAAGGCCCTTACTCAACAATGGAGGTGAGTTCTGCTGCTGACCTGCACCTTGGGGTGCTCCCAGCATTGCTGGCAGACAGGGTGGGTGTTGCTGTGGCAGCTGAAGATGAAGGCACCCCATGCCAATGGTTCCTCTCCYGTGTTCTCCCTGTGTTGCTGTTCCAGAGTGGCACCAGTACGATGACATCGTGTGTGCAAAGCCTTCCAGGATAAAAAACTTCTGGCAGACATGGACTGGGGATAAAAACAAGGAACTGGTGGAAGGGAAGAAAATAGCTGCCARTGTTATGTTGGAAAGTATCTTCAGCATTCTTGGAACCTGGAGTGCTGACAACCTGAGGAACTTCTTCTGCCAGCTGAGACAGTTCCACTACGTTGCTGTAGCCCAGCGGGTGTTTGATGGTGGGCCTATGCTGTGGTTAGAGCTGAACTTCAACGCAGAGCAGGTACTCCCCTTCCCTTCCCTTCCCTTCCCTTCCCCAGAGGCAGAAATTCCATTGCTGAACCCAAATGTTCATTTTGCTGTTGACTTTGCTGGGTTAATTTTGCTATTCCAGTCAAAGTTCAGTGGGTTTCCTTCCAGGGTGATTGCTTTGGGGACTTCAGTCATCCTGAGCCCTTAGTGTGGTTCTGAGAGCCCATGTGGGTCAGCAGCAGARCTGGGACGTGGTGACTTCATACTTGAGTGGGTTTTGGGTTTGGATGTTGATTTTCTAAATCTGGCCCTTAAGTTTTGCTGCTGGTTCTGTCACCAACTTCTCTGCACTCCTCTCTCGTTCCAAACCTGCCTGCTTTTTGGGAGAAGCTCCTGATCCTGTTCTAAGCAGTGATGCCAGCAGAGCTTCTGGAATCCAAAATTCCTTACTTGACATAATTAGGAAATACGACAGAAATCCCACGTTGCATTTTTTTGGTCATCAGGGCTGTTCCTTCCTGTCCCCTGGTCCTGCTGGAACTGGCAGRAGAAAATGGCTTCAGATGAGAAAGGCTAATGCTGTGGSTGSTTTSTTTCYTCCCTTCTTATCCCAGGTGAACGAYTTGCTGATGAAAYACATGAAGAAAATAGCTCTCCCTTTCCTTGCACCCGAAGCACCTCCGGAGGACAGAGTCATCAAAAGCAAACTGGCTCTGGGGCTCACCATTCTCTTGGTATTTGAGRACTTTTCACTTCCAGCAGTTAAAGGTGACCTGGATGACCTGTGCAGCCTCCTGTGCTTGGATCAGGTGTCCCAACAAGAGGTGCAGAATGAGATTGATCACATCAAGCAGGCTTTTGCAGGAGTGACCAAGTAAGTGCTCCAGTCGAGGTTGCAGTGCAGTTCTGAAAATCTCCAGGGAGCTTTGTCCAACCCCTCTGGGCCCTCTCACAGTCACACAACTTTCTCGTTATTTTTCTTTTGTGCAAACAGATTTCCCTTATTGCAGCTTGCCATGCTTGCCAGAGCCATAGATTGAGTTAAAACTGTTGGTTTTTTCTTTATGCATAATCTTATTTGTTATCCTTTTCTGGCAAGCAGTTTCTGGCTCCTTGCCTGTTTGCTGCTGATGCTCACAAACTCCAGTGATCAGGAKCATGGGGTATTTGTTCCCACAAGTGAAGTGCCACATTTGGATCCTCTGGCGTGCATCATTGCACACTTTTGGCAGGTTTTCCCCTGGCACAGGGCTGGGGGCTCGTGGGGAGGCTGCAGGTAAAGGATTGGGGCTTGTCAGTGCTCCAGCAGCAGGGTCTGGGCACAGAGATTCAGGAACATTGGCASCTCTGGGCTTTAAACCTGGACATGCACACTCTGAAATGAAGAGTGGAMGGAGCTAAAATAATGACCAGAGATTGGGATGTAGCCTCTCCCACCCCTTAGGGCATTCTCAAGGCCTGGATAAARCTATTCTTTCACTCACTCTGTTTGTTTTGGTTTTGTTTTTTTTTTATTTAGCTTGAAGGTTGACCTGACCAACCTGTGCCAGAGGTGCATTGAAGGTGACACAGAGCGGTGGGTGTGGATCCTTCCCCTCCTGCACTCCATTGCTGCTCCCCATCAGGAGCATGGACCACTGGAGGARGATGTTTGGGCAGGGCTGGAAGGGCTCCCCTTTGCTGAAACCAGGAGGAAGCAAAATGCGTGAGTTTTCCACAATTCCCAGTTACACTCCGTGCTCCAGCTGAGGCTCCTCACCTTCCTTCATCTCTTCTTTTGGTTCCCCCCACCCCTCATTTTGAAAAGTGTGAAATGCAGCATGTAGAGGGGTTTGGGCTGTTTGGGCATTGCCACTCTGGTGTCTCAAAGGTTGGTGAGGGTAGCCCAGCTGGGCACTGTGTGAGCCCTCAAACACMACCCCCARTTGTGCCATCAGAGCAGCTCAGAGKCTGAGCCAGRCCTGGAGTTTATTTTCCTTGGGTTGTGCTCAGTGSTTTGSCTCTGCTCTGCCATCCCTGGGACTYCTCCATGGGCTGCACAAACTCGTGGCCTTTTTGTTCCCTGGAAACCCCAAGATTTTATTTTGTCTCCTGTCCAGAGTGACCCTGCTGGAACGAATGAGAGAAAAGAAGTACTTGATGGAATTTGATGAGACTCTGGTCAAGTCCTGGCTCTGTGTGCTGCCCCTGGGGAACCTGGCTGAGTTCATCAAAGACTTCTCCAGTGATTTGTTGGTTACTCTGCAAGGTGTTTTGTACAGATTGGAGAATGTGGATCTCTCGTGGAACTTTCAGGTTTGTCTCCTGGCAGTTTTACCCAGCTCTGGGGTAAAGGCTCAAACTGGGCTCCTGGGCGTCTTTTTGCCATCACTGAGGGAATTTTGGGGCTGGCAGCAGATCACAGCACAAACAGCACAAACAGCTTCAAACTCAGCTAAAAAAACAATTGCTGTGACATCAGAGACTCCTAAGGAGGAGATTTGGGGGCGTATCTGCAGCAAAAAGTGGGGTTGGCATTGATGAGAGGAGGATGTTTTTAGCTGGATTTGCTCCTGGTCACATTTGATGGCAAATGTTTTAATCCAGAGCTCCTCAGTGTGTACCTGAAACTGGTTTTTTTTTTTTTTTTGCACAGGAGGGTTGGGCAAAAGGGCTGCTGGTTTGGRAGATTTTCCTGCTGTTGTGAAAACTCTTGTACTGGTGTGAGGACAGCAGGAATAGGATCTTGCAATTAATAACAGATTTTAAACCCCCAGACTGTAACAAGTAATTTATTTRTACAGCCCAGGTTGGGTTTGTACAAATAAAAGCTACTCAGGTGTTGGTTCTGAGATCCAGTAAATAAATTTTGCTGTTTTATGAAAGTGTTGGGGAAGACATGAAAGAACAGTGAAATCCTTCTTTCTGAGCTAATCAGAAACCACTGTAAAATGTCCTCCATGGTTTCATATTTTTKTCTTTCCAGCGTCAGGAGGTAGAGCAGATTCTGAAGGCAGTGCTGTGTGCCTTGGATGAGCCCCCAGCCAGGTAAGTGCAGTGCACCTTTGTCAGAATATTTATTGTCTGGGGTCGTGCTCATGGGCCTTGAAATCTCTGTGAAGAAAAGAATCCTGGATTTCTACCCCATTTTGTCAATCCATCTGAGGGGAGCGATGGTTAGCTGCCACGCTGAGTTGAATTTAGCGGCGTTTTATTTTGTTTCTAATTTTTTATTTTCCCTTGGAGGGGAAAGTTAATTCTGGTTCTGTGTCCTGCCCTGCAGAGCTCTGGGAGCCCGTTCTTGGCTGTGCTGCTTGTCCTGCTGCCTCAAGCTGCACGAGAGGCTCTGCAAGAATGTCAGGAGTGTGAGCTGGTTCCTGATCCCTGCCACTGCTGCCATCCTCATTGCCAGGGTGGCCCAACTTCAGCCCTCAGCAGTGAGTACCAAGGATATGAAATACCCACARATATCACACTCTGGTACATCAGACTGGGTTTGCATCAGCTCCAGGCTCAATCTGAAGAATTTCACGCTCTAAACAAGGTTATGGTACTTKGAGAGAGTTGTGAAATCACCTAATRAGTTTGRTTCWTATTGAAAATAAGGTCACAAGTTCAGTTTGGCTGACATAAGCTTTGTTTTCTATCTGGTTTTGTTTCCCCTTGAACATTTTTGTCTTTACTTCCTGGAACAAGCTCAAGCACAAGCTGCCTGTGAGCCCTGCACCTCCCCAGGCTCTCTCTCTTTATTCACTGCTGGCTCTGGAGCTGGCCATTTGTGTGCTCTGCATGCATTTGGGCTTTCTTTTTAGAAATCCTGATTTAAAGCAGTTGTCTGTTGCTCTCCTGCTTGAACTGTGTTTATTTTTTTTTGTTCTCTCCTCTGTGTGGGGCAGGTTCCAGGGGATGCTGTGCAGGARGTTCCAGAAATGCTGAGTAGAGCTCTGAGAGATACTCGAACCTGGTTCAGAAACACTTTAAAACAGAAGTTACTGAAGGAGTACCTGGAGCACGTCACCTTCTCTTCCCCTTCTGAGCTGCGGGTTTGTTTTGTTTCAGTGATGTGAATAAAAAGGGGTTTTATCCTGTAGCTTAGCCAGGATTTTGAGTCTCTTGGCTCTTTGCTGGATAAGGAAAGGGATGGGCAGTGTTTGAGAAGCAAAGGGCTGGAATTGGTGCTGCTCAGCTCACCTAAGCTGGGCTTTTCTTGGCTGTTCTAAAGGCATTGCTGGGCTCAGGAACTGCCCCATGTTGGTGCTGTTTTGCTCCCAGTATGGGAGTCCCACTGGTTRTCCTCAAACCTTCCACAGGCAAAGCCCAGAGCTGTTCCCACCCCTCCCTGGGACAATTTACAGCAGCAGAGTGGAAGGGGCTCTTCCAAATATCTCCTTTAGCAGCTGAGACATTTATACACCATTTGGGTTTAAAATCTGCTTTCTGCAGCTCTGGGAGTGTTCCTTTTCCTCGGGATGGAAGTGTGTGGGTCATCTCTTCTACACTGTGCTTGGAATTGCCTTCTCTGTGAATTCTCAGCACTCTCTCAGTGGTTTGGGTTTGTTTGCTTCTCCCCTGCAGGCCTGGGATAGGTTTGTGAAGATCAGCTTTCCAGATGAGCAGTTCACCCAGACATGGAGGGACACTTTACTCGCAGATCTGAAGAGAAGAATCCAGCAGGTAGGGGAGAGAAAGAATCCAGGGCAGGCAGCCCTGGAGTGATGGAGTGATTTGTGCTGTGCTGGGAGAAGGAGCACGTGGGAGGGGTGGCTTTGGTCATAAAGATTGCCATTGCTGTTACAAACCACCTTCTGGAGGCTCAAAAATTGGCCATGGCAATGTCCCACACTGTGACWGTGACAGTGACAGTGGCCTGGCTGCAGGTGCTCCAGAGGAAATGAAAATTCTGGCCAATTGTCACCTCTTTTAAGGAACCAGTGGGTGCAAAATAAACACCCATGRGCTCGGAGAAGCCAGGTTGGTGCTTCTCTTTTCATTCCTTGTGCAGAAAAAGGTGTTGTTCAGGCTCCAGAATGCACACCCASATGTGTATCTCCTCATCTCCTTTCTGCAGCAGTTACAAAATTCTTTAAGCCATTGATATTTGTGGTGTAATCTGGAAACAAATAACTTTCTGCTGTAAGCTTGGCTTGGAGAGATGGGTATACTAAGTAATCACACACTTTAGATGGAAATCATTAAAATATTTTCCAGGGATTTATTTGTTTGAGCTCTCTTCCAGGCCCTAGAAATGTGCTGATGCTCAGGTTCCTTTTACTGTGTTGTTAGCTGTCTCCCAAGGAAAAACACTTTGGAAATTGGGTTGATCAGAAATCTCCCTTTTGCCCTKTAGGAGACTCCAATGAACCAAATCTTGGTGTACTGTTGTCAGCACTACCAAATCAAACAGGTGGAGCCTTCCATTGACTGGTGCTTCCAGAACTGTGCCACAGAGGCTGTGACTGCAGCTTGCCAGGTATTGTGTGCTCCAGGGGAAGGGAGAGGCAAGGGAGATGGAAGAAAAATGGAATTTCACATAAATAAAACACCAACAAGAAATCAGGAAATGAGGATTCCCTTTTTTAGGGTCCATGAGGAATATTTGTAATGTGTTTGCACCATGAGCTCTGTTGTGTCAGAGGGCATTCTTGCAGCGTGCCTCACTACTGGAGCTGCCAGTGCCAATTTTGAGGCACAGACTCGGTGTGATCCCAATCCCTGCCCCTCTCTGTGTGCCCTGGCAGATGCAGAACAATATCCTGGAGAARATCTCTGCCTACAACCTGGGCCAGTTCAGCCAGCTCGTGTCTGCTGTCATCGTGAAGTCRTGGCCCATCAGGGCTGGGCAGAATGAGGAGGATTTTGATAAAATTCTGCACCATCTGCTCACGTGGCCTGACATCAAACACATCTTCAGCTTTAATGGTAGGTCTCTGGTTAGATTTGAGGAGAAGCTTTTCTCTGCCTCGCTGCTGCCACTGCACAGAGCAGCAAACAGAGAAATTGCCCTGCTCTTGTTTTAGTCTTCATTTCAAAGTTTGAGGTGTTTGGCTTGGGTAGAGATTCAATAAGAAATGGAGGAACTCTGTGCCATGCCATGGAAAAGTTGCTGCTTCTGCTTGTTTTTTTGGGAAACAGGGCTGATCTTGGGTTTGTCCTGCTTTGTTTCTGGGACAGGAGCAAACAGAAACTTCTTAGACAAACTCACAGAGGAAGCCAAGGATGTCATGGCCACAGCAGACTCTGTGCTTACGAGTGTCACCGATGACATCCACATGGGCTGTGTCCTTGTGAGRCACCTGGAAGAGGTTTTCCAGCATAAGGAGCAGTTCCTCTGCATTTGGGAGACAAGTAAGAGAGTTCAAAAGGGGCACAGTTGGCTTAGAGCATCATTGTTGTGATGCTGCTGCTCCAGGGACTGGCAATGGGACTGGGAATGGGACTGGGAATGGGAATGGGACTGGGAATGCTCCAGGGACTGGGAATGGGACTGGAAATGCTCAGGGAGTGCTCCAAGGACTGGGAATGGGACTGGGAGTGCTCAGGGGCTGCTCCAGGGACTGGGAATGGGACTGGGAATGTTCCAGGGACTGGGAATGCTCAGGAGCTGCTCCAGGGACTGGGAATGTTCCAGGGACTGGGAATGCTCAGGGGGTGCTTCAGGCACTGGGAACGGCACTGGGAATGCTCAGGAGCTGCTCCAGGGACTGGGAATGGGACTGGGAATGGGACTGGGAATGCTCAGGAGCTGCTCCAGCAGTTTCCAGTGCTTCCCCTTGGCCTGGGCAAGGAGCTCCCAGCTCCAGTTTGTGTTGTCAGTGCAGAGTTTGTGACTCTGCAGTTCCTGAGTTGGGGTGCAGGGTGGGGTGAGTGTCTGCTTTGTGACTCCAGGTGAGTTTTCTTTCAGAGCACCAGCAATGCTCGAGTGAGGAGAAGGAGCTGCTCCAGAGAAGCAGGAAAGAACTGCTGGAGTCGAGGCATGAAGAAGTCACACTGCTCAGAAGAGARAAAAAAGCMATAGGAACCTTCCTSGGCATGTGCAGGAAGGTGCACAAGTCTGTGAAAGGTAGAGTTGTGGGGAAGCAGAAAGTGGCAACTCCAGAAAACAGCRTTTTCCTTGAAAATCCCTTGGCTTTGGGGACAAATTTGATTCTAAACCTTACAGTGAGGGTGAGGAGAGGTGAGGGAAATAAACCCAGAGCACTGGGGGGATCCAGTGAGTGCTTTTGCATCAAATGGTGCTTCCAGGGGCCCACCTGCCTGTAGGATTTTGTGGCTTGGGGATGGGATGAGAGCTGGAGCCTGATCTCCCCCTGACCTGTCTCTGTTTTATAGTGGATGTGACTGAAGTGGAATTTCAACACTCGAAAGATCTCAGTTCRAAAAGACTGAATCAAGTTGTGAGTGTGGGAAGGAGACCCCTGCAGACCTTCTACAACCTGAGCCCAGAGCTGAAAGGATTTATCCACAAAATGCACGCTTTTAAGGACAGCCGGATCTTCCAGCAGTTCTGGGAGGAAGCAGCACAGAAGGCAGGAGAGGAGTATGAGTGTGATTATTCAGAGGAGGAGGAGAACGAGGAGGAGGAGGAGGAGGAGGACACTGTTCCTGAGCTGGACCTTGAAGATGTTTTGAACAGCATGATCCGCCCTTGCTTTGCCAACTATGAAATGCTGTATGATGAGCTCAGATCAGGSAGTCTCACACTTTCTGCAGTCGATAGAATTTTCCATGAATTCACAAATCATCCTGAAGATCTCAGAGCAGAGCTGAACACCATCTGTGGGCTTTGGTCCACAGAGGAGCAGGGCTGGGTTGACCAGCGAGTCCAGCAGATCCAGCAGTACCAYGAAATGTATTTAACCTTTGATGCTGCCAAGATCATCGCCCATGTTAAAGAAAGTTTAGGCCTCTCTGGTGACTTCAGTATCCTGGAAAACCTGTTGCATATAGTGAGTATCCCCAGCTTTAGCTCTGTGCTGTCAGGGTGTTGGCTAAATCTGAACCTTCCCACAATCTATACCAGTCTGTCGAGAATCGTTCCTTGTCCCAAAATGCTTATTTGGGGTAAAAATCAGATGTTCCAAGTGCTTTCATGTAGTCATTCCTTAAAGAGAGATGATGRTACTGCTCTGTTGGGGTGTGGCTTTGCAGGGGGCTCTCCTTTCCCTGCTGCAAACCCCTGGCATTTCCCAGTTCCAGACCCAGTGTGTGTTTGTACAATTTGCTTTGCAGACAGAAAAGCTTGAATCCTACAAGACCCAGAAGCTGGATTCCATCAGCCCTGAGCTCGTGCAAGCCAAGAAGCTGCTGCAGGGGATCACTGTGCCCCGCCGTGGCTGCCTGARGGAGCTGGCCCAGCAGAAGGAATTCGTCTGCTGGGTCAGGGAAGCTCTGAAAGGTGTGTGCTGTCATCCTGGAATGAGTCAGGGAGTGCTGGAAGGGATGGCAGCTTGTGTGGGGGCAGCAGAACACTGAATCCCTGCCCCATCTGCTTTGTGCCTTCGCAGCTTCTGGTGTTGGCAGTTACATCTGCAACGGGTTTGGGTGTGGAACGGGCTGTGGAGTCCCTTTAATGAAGTCCCCATGCAGTGTGGGGACACCAGGGCCGAGGGGATGGGTGAGGATG